AAGCAGGGCATAGTATGCAGAACCCTTGAAAAACACAGCACCTCACCTTCCTCCTTATATAGAAGCAGAGGACTAGGAAACTTTATTAGAAATGAGTCAAGTTTTATGAAAAGTCTGTGATTCTGAGTGGGAAGTGCTGATTACTACCATGGGGCCTGGGGCTGTCTGGACTTGGGTACTTGTTTGACTTCTTGGATCCTCAGTTTCTCATCTTTGAACAGGGGAAATGATAGTGTTCCACTCAGGGCTGTGGGGAAATTCCAGTTAACACATGAAAATCACTTAGACTTTGGTTGGTGTCTGTGACATTTTCAGCTGGGACTACCTGTTTTCTACTAATTAAAAACTTTATTTTTCAGTACTATGGAATATAGCTAAGTAATGGAAACACATCCTTTAAAGTAACTTTCATTAAAATAAGCACATGGGCTGGGTGTGGTGACTTACGACTTTAATACCAATGCTTGGGAGGCAGAGGCAGGCAGGTCTCTGTGAGTTCGAGGCCAGTCTGGTCTACATAGCAAGTTCTAGGCCAACTGGGGCTACAGGAAGACCCTGTCTCAAAAAACAAACAAACAAACAAACAAACAAACAAACAAAAAATAAAATGAAAAAAACCCACCCAATTTTTAAACTATGCACATGGGACTGGAGAGATGGCATAGCAGTAGCAGTTAAAAGCACTGTCTGCCTTCCAGAGGACCTGGGTTCAGTTCCCAGGACTCACATGGTGGCTAACAACTGCATGTAACTCCAGTTCCAGGGGATCCGGCGCCCTCTTCTAGCCTCCATGGACACTGCAGGCACAGAACACAGGCAAAATTCTATATACATAAAGTAAATAAAAATTTTAAAAAAATATGCACATGCTGGAAAAGTCTCATGTAAGTTCAAGTCAGACAAAAGCCTGGCATAGATGTGGGAAAGTGGGTAAGAAACCCCACTCTACCTGAGGAACTACTAGCAACTGATGACTGCTGAGAAGGGGAGAGTCAGTCTCATTTAAGGGTGAGATTCTTAGTAGGTTGACCAGGCTCCAGTGGGTGAATCCACACCAAAGGGCATTTGGGGACACAGACTTAACTTTATGGGCCTTTACATATTTAAATATATTAATATATGTCATATAATATATTATATATATATATTAGAGTACAGAAATTTGGTGGGAGGTTAGAAAAGGGGGGTGCAGATATGAGAGGGGATCTAAATATGACCAAAATATATTGTATGAAATTCACAAAAATTCCATTAAAATTAGTTTAAAAATGCACAGGCTGGAAGGTTACATTCATTTCATCATTCTTAAGGCCAATTTCAGTGTCTTATGAGGAGTCATCCCAGTTATCATAAGCCCTGAAGCTTTAGGGACATCCAGGGCTGCCAATAGAGATGTACACAGAGCCACAGGCCAGTGCTCAGCTTTAACTGACTATGTCAAGTGCTAACCGGAATGGAAAGGCATCTTTGCATAGTGGTGAAAACCACAAAGCTGTCAGAACTCAGTGGCTTCAGGCTTCTTGGTTGCTGACACCTAAGTTCAGGAAGATGAAGTAACTCAGCTGGCATTAGGCTACCAGAAAGCAGAGGAAATGGTCGTCATATGACAAATGTCTGGCCACAAGCCCCTTGCTGTTTTCCTACCACTCTGCCCTGGAGATGGAAGGGAACTACTTCCTATCTCATGTTCTGTTATAGAGGCTACTTCTAGTCTTGAGAAGCCTGTGTGGAGTCTCATGAGGGAATTGGGGTGAGGTGCCAGGGCTCTGTGTTGAACTTCTAAGGCCCATCTGGCAGGAACACAGAAAGATGAACAGCATTTGGGTTTCTATGGCAGCAGAGATATAACGGGACCTTCTGTTCCTCCTTGCCCTCCCATCTACTTCAACTCTCTGAAGGTCATGAGGGTCTTTGAGAAGGTCTCTGTGTCCCAAGTCACTCTTTTTCCCTTTCATCTCAAGGTCTGAGAGAGGAGCCCACCCCTGTACACACTGCCTCATCTGTAACTGGTAATTTCTAGAGAAGATAGAAGGAAGAGGGGGAGCCCTTCAGAAGATGTAGACTTCTGGAGTGGATGAAGCCAGCTTATACAAATAGAGGGAGGGAGAGAGAGAGAGAGAGAGGTCACCACCTGGCCTGAGCAAATAGCAAGAGGAAATACACATGTGGGACTCGTGCTCCGGAAATCTGGGGAGACGCTGCTTCCAGACGGACTTAATAGATTCAGGTCACCGGAAGGAGATGGTCCAGTAAGAACTACTGCTGAGGAAGGATGTGGACCCGCCTTCCCTGAAGGTCTTTAAAGATAGCATTAATTTCTACTTGTCTGAGGTCAGTAAAATAGGTGTAACTTGAAGAGAAGAAAATGCATCAAAGTGATGGCCAAGGTCTCCCCTCGCCTTGCCAGTCTGTGGTTTCTCCACACTTGAGGCAGAGACGCTCCACTCAGAACGCATCTTAGAAACTGAAAAGTGTGTCGAGGCGCCCGTGTGACCTGTCTGTTATGGGCGGCGGGAAAAAAATTCAGACCATAGAAATCATCTTTATTTTGTCTCTTGTAAATACGAGTTTATGAGAAAAGCAAACCAGCTTAGGTCATTCAGAAAGGTGCTGCAGAAATAAAAACTTTGAGAGTCCAATCTCTCTGTAGTCGGAATGGCTATGTTGAGAAGCATCAGATGCTGGTGAGGATGTGCAGAAAGAGGAACAACTCTTATTCATTGTCGTTGGGAGTGTAAACTAGTGCAGCCACTATGGAAACCAGTGTGGAGGTTCCTCAAAGCCCTAAAAATAGGTCTACCATATGCCCCAGCCTCACCACTCCTGGACAGATACCCAAAGGACTATATTTTCCATCACAGAGTCACCTGTACATCCATGTTTGTTGCTGCTCCTTCTACAACAGCAAAGGAATGGAACCAGTTCAGATGCTGTTCATCTTTCTGTGTTCTAATGAAAATGTGGTACATGCACATAATGGACATTTATTCAGCTGTAAAGAAAAATAAAATTGTGCAATTTTCAGGGAAATGTATGGATCTGGAAAATATTATGTTTAGCAGAGTGATCTAGACCCAGAACGACAAAAAGTACATGCCATATCTCATGTGGGGAGCCTAGCTTTCCATGTTTATATATGTATGTCCTGGGGTGTGAGTGTGGGTGTGGGCTGTGATGGGGAGAAAAAGAGGTTAAAGGGGGGGGCAGTGAGGGCAGTAGGACACATGAAAGAAGAAAGGAGGGTCTTGGGGTGGGAGACTACAAGGGAGAGAAATGGTGGGGAGAAGGGAGAAGGAGGACCAACAAAAACAAATTATGTTTGAAAATGCCATAATAAATCTAATACTTTGTATGGTATTTAAAAGTTAAAAAAAATAATATGCCACCACAGCACATTCTAGGAGAAACCACCCCTGAGTCCACTGTAGGTAATGGAGGCAGTTTCCAAACTCCAGCCCCCCAGGCTCGGACAGGCAACTGACAGCAAGAAGACTCCACACAGACTTGTTTGGAGGAGAACAAAAAGCCAGATGGAAGCCCCAGAACGGCGGGGAGCGGGCAGCTGGAAGCCCCAAAACAGGGAGCAGAGAGCTGCAAGCCCCAGAACGGGGAGTGGGGAGCTGGAGCCCCCAGGAAGGAGCATGAAGCGGCCTTTGGCAGGCTGAGGCTCAGAAAACCTGAGACCTAGGCAGCATGAACACAGACTGCTCCCTCCACCCAGGATCCCAGACTTTCCTATAGAGTTGGCAAATTCGCCAGCTTTCAAAGAAAGCACGCATTTATTTATTTCACAATAAATAAATGCATGGAATGCCTCCCATAATGACTAACAATAAGCAATTAAAAGAATTAAATTAGTGAATGGGTCAGCAGACAAAACAACACAGAGGAGAGCTGGGCTTTTGAACACTGGGAAGTCAGCTGGGGGAGCAGTCCACTCACTGTGCACTGCAGGCAGTGTCCCTGTCTTAATAAGAAGGGCCCTGGGCTTGCTGGATCTTGGGTCACTGCTGAGGATAACCTGAGGACCTGCAGAGAGGCTGTCTCTGTCTCCATGGAAACTGCATGTATTCAGGCAAATTGAGGTCCTTTTTCAATTGGAAGAAAAAACATTTCCAAGTTAATGGTTTTGTGCCAAACAAATGGATATCACGCATCACTTATGTTATGTTAGAAGTCAAAAATAAGGGAGTAAAAGTAGCTTTTCTTAACCTTGTAAAGTGTTTAAGCATGCTCTTATTTGGCCCTTCCTCTAAATATTTATAATTCTCCAAAAGTCTTTCCCTTAAGTGCCTTTTGAATCAGGTTTACTGAGCCTTCACTTACTTATTCATAACAAATGCTGATTGAATGGCAGTGTATCGACACCCAGATGCAGGTATTAATAAGATGTGGCCTCTGCCCTCAGGGAGCTCACAGTCAAGTGGGTAAATGACACCAGTGTCCATGGCTTTCTTAGGCCCTGCCTTGTCGTGGAGTGCTATTCTAGTTAGCTTCTCGAGTGCTGTGATAAAAGTACAGACCAAAACCAACTTGGGGAGGAAAAGGTTTATTTGGCTTACAGCCCACAGTTCACCATGGAGGGGAACCAGGACAGAAGCTCAGGGCAGGAACCTGCAGCACAGACCATGGAGGAACTCTACTTACTGGCTTGTTCTCTGGCCTATGCTCAGCCTGCTTTCTTATACAACCCAGGACCACCTACCCCAGGTGGCACCACCCAGAGTGGGCTGGGCCCTTCCACATCACTCAACAATCAAGACATGGTCAATAGACATTGACCACAGGCCAAGCCAATGGAGGAAATTTCTCAATTTAGGTTCCTCTACCAAGATGTATCAAGTTGACAACTGAAGCTATCCAGCACAAGTGCCATTCACCCCTAGGTACCCAACAGGTCTATGTGTGGTGCTCCAGGTTCTGGGCTCCTTCCTGAGGGTGCTCTAGCATCCAAGGGCCTGCAGAGTTGGCAGTGATCACCCCAGAGGCCTCAAGAAGTTCAAGGTTATCTTCACCTACATTGTGAGTTCAAGTCCAGTCTGGACTACACAGACACTTTTTTAAAAAGCCCTAGGATAGAAACATGGGCTTCCCTGCCTCCAGGGATGATTCACAGAAGGAACCATTGACCCACTACTTTCATAGACCCAGGAATGGTGAGCCCCCACACCAAGACCTGGGAGGTGTCAAGTGGCTGTGTGTGCTCTAGGGCTGAGGGGCACTCAGGATGAATGAGGACTGCATATGGGCATCTGAACTGGGCCACTAGGGGCTCATGGTAACCTGGAGTGAGGACGACAGGGTAGATGTTTAAGAGGATGAGGAGAGACCAAGGCTGAGTGATCAATGTGTGCAGACTTCCCTGGAGCAAAGCACATAGCCCGTCTGTGCCTGTCTGTGAGAGCTGCCACTCAGCCTGTCGTGCATTTGTACCCACTGTGCCCCACAGTTGTGAGAGACAGGGGTGCTCCTACCACCCTAGTTTCTGGGAGGTGAGTCACTATAGAAAAGTGATAGTTCTGGGTGTTAAAGAAAAGACTGCGAGTTCTCATTTTAGTGGCACTTGTTTTCCTGGTGAATATCTATGCTGGGTTAAGTCTCTTACAGATGAAACAGTCCCACATTTCAGATTTACTTCAGTCATTGTATGTGCGCGCACATGTGTGTGTACACGGATACATGCGTGCTCAGATGGGAAGGGCCAGGCCAGGAGGCAGGGAAGGATCAGTGTTACAGGGCCCCAGGAACTTCTGTAGACATAGCCAGAGGCAGAATTTAAGTTCTTCCTCCAGGGAACTGGACTCAGAGGTTGGAGGGAGTGGAGACACAGTGACCTGCCAGCAAGCCTAAGAAAGAAGGAAGAGGCAGGAGCCTGACCTTATGGTGGGGAGCAGAGGCTAAGGGGAGGGCAGATTTTATGTGTTCATAAGAGATAAACATTGGATGTACTGTAAAATCCCTTGGGGAGTTTTCAAAAATGATCCTCCTGAGTCTAGCACCCAAGATCCTGATGGTACTGTGTAGGGTCCAAGGGCAGCTACTTAGCCTGGATCAGTACTGCTGAGATGGGAACAGTGTGTGGATGCCTGGGCCAGCTCAGTCCTGCACAGTGCCTGGAGGTAATGCATATGACATGCCTGGTGATTAGTAGGCCAGCAGGAGTTTCTGTTTCCTTTCCAACTTCTTTACCTTCTCCATAGTATTTAGATTCACGATAACAGCTTTTCTTTTTGAACATCTCCCCCCAGTTTTACAAGCCTTGCAGGAAATCTGTCCTTGTTCCTCGGTGTTGTGTCCTATGAGATCACTGTAAAATAAAAATCATTTTTAAGCCATGGTTTTATTTATTTTGCCAAAATTGCACTTTTGAGTCTATTGTTGGCAGCATCATTCTTGTGTTACCGCATACTCGACATTGGCGTCGTGGAGACCTGACACAAACCACTTTCCATCCTGCTCTGGTATTGATTTAATATCAGAAGGCTATTTTCTCTTCATCCCAATGAGATGTTAAAAGGAATTGGAGGTGGATGCAAGGACGTGTCCTGAGTAGGCTGTCCCTCACTTGTCTAGCAACTCTTCCCTCCTTTGAAATATCTTACTGCCTTTTTCACATATGAATAGAAGGTGTGTATAACTGCATGTTAAGCAACAGCAATGACTTCAAAGGGCACTTTTTACCTTTGTGGGGACCTTCATTTTGCTTGTCTGAATCAGGAGCAGAGGGCCAAGGTCATTGCTTCCATCAAGTAGACCCCTGCAGGACTGGTCCAGGTGAGCTCCTTCTGAGAATACACAATAGCCACAAACATGTAAGTACTTACTTTCCTTTCTTCCATTCGAACACTTCACTAATGGCATCTTTTCTTTTTTCATACTGGAGTTTTCTCTTTTTTTTTTTTGGTCTTTTTGAGACAGGGTCTCCCTGTAGCCCCAGCTGCTAGAACTCACTATGTAGACCAGGCTGCCCTTGAACTCACAGAGATCCGCCTGCCTCTGCCTCCTGAGTGCTGGGATTAAAGGCATGTGCCACCACGCCCGGCCCATACAGGAGTTTTCTAGGTTTTCAAGCACGTCTTCACAGTAGCACTGATGGGGACATCTTTATTCTATTCCTAATATTAAAAGAAGAACCTCTCTAAGTATTCTGCACACACATTCCCTTTGGAATGCCATCAATAACACAGGCAAATATTGCCTTTAGAGCTCAGTGTGTCTACTTCCTTTCAGTGAGGTAAAATTTGCTTGTGACACGCATAGAACAGTAGTCTTCCTCAGCAGGCTAGAGGCGGGCCAGCACAGGGAAAGTGTAGGGGCTCCACTTGGCTCAAACAATAAACATACACTTTTACTAACAATGCGCCTACCAACCTAGGTCTCTCAATTACACTAAGCTGCAAGTACTCACTTTAAACAATGGGATAAGTGACTCCTCCTTAGCAACCATTCGTATAGCAACTCCCTCTTTTGAGATCAGTTTCCATTCAAATGTGTTTCAGAACATATCTGGATATGGAGGCAGGCAGGAGACCAATCTGGCCTGAACTTGTTTTGAGTGGATGCACAGTAAGGCAATTTGTGTCCTCTGGGAGAACTTTTTAGGGAAAATTCCATATTTACCATCTTATGCATATACACAATTGGGCATGTATGATTAAAACCAGATGCACCATGGCAGAAGACATGTACTGTTGATTAAATTTACAAAGCCTAAGCTTGTCAATCAAAACAGAGAACCACCCAAGCAGTACCCCTAGCAACCAGCTCCTCCTCCTCCTAGACTCCATAAAGGAAGGCCCAAAATAGTAACCTAGGGCCCGTGAGTACCCTAACTCAAGGAGACCATGGCTTGATTATCTGATCTGTATTATCGATTTGCTTCTGATTAAAGTCTCCTTGCTACTTTGAAATCTCTGTACTTCTTCAGTTCTTTGATTAGGACATTAAGAACCTGGAAACACCCGGTCCAGACAGCAATTCCCCATAAGAGGTGGACAGATGCTTACCTCATGGAGCCAGCTCCATCCACAGAGACCCCACTGTCATGCAGAGAATCCCCTCATGCTTGTTTTTGATTGACCCAGCTCCCATGAATACCCCAATTCTAAGTCCTGGCACCCTTGAGTAAATGTGGCTCATCTTCAAATTCAAGCAAATGCAGCACACACTATCGTGCTTGGCTCATTTATTGTGTTCTCTTTTCAAACTGAGGAGTGGGATTCCATTGTGATTACGGCACACTGTGCAGACCTGCTCTCCTGTCAACAACTATTCATATCGTTTTCAATTTGGAATTGAACTGATCTGAACACTGCTGCAATCCATCTTTGTGAACGTGTGGGTGCTCAGCTTTATACAGAGCTGTGACACATTTCCAGGTAGCTGCTCCATGTGATAGTCCCGACCCGAGACAGAGTTCCCGCTGCTCCACGTGCTGCCCGGTAGCATGTGGTATTCTTGGTCCTTAAGGTTGTGGCCATTCTAGTGCACGCACAGCAGGATCACATTTCGATTTTAGTTTGTGTTGTGGAGTGTAGACTGTGTGGTGTTCCCCCATTTAGTAGCTGCAGAATCTGAAGTTGTGTGAGCTGTTTGACACCTGGTGCTGGTCATCTATGTCCTGTCTTTCCTAAGGTCTATTGATTTTCTTTTTTTAAAAAAGAATTGTCTTTATAATTTATCAGTTTTTTCCCTTTTTAAAAATTCTATTGATTTCTTCTTTGTTATTTTCTTCTTGCTTTGGATTTATTTCAGCCCCCCCCTTTTTTTTTCCAGGTTCTTGAGTTGGGAACTTGTGTTATTGATCTGAGACTTCTCTTTTACAACATAAACATTGTGTGTGTGTGTGTGTGTGTGTGTGTGTGTGTGTGTGTGTGTTATTGAGGTCAGAGGCCATTAGGTGTTTCCATAGTTGTTTTCCACCTTATTTTTTCAGATAGGGTCTCTCACTGAACCTGGAACTGAACTGGCTGGTTCAGTTAGACTGGCTGGCCAGAGAGGTCCAGAGATCCTCCTGTCTTTGCCCTGCAAGTATTGAGGTTATAACTGTGGACCACTGTGCCTCATGCTTGTGTGACAAGCCCCTTTCCGGTTAAACCATCTTCCCAGCCTTACAATAGAAACATTTAAAGCTATAGATTTCCCTATCAGTTGCTTTGGCTTCATTTACAAGTTTTGACGTGTCGCATTTTCATCTTCGTATGGTTTTAGTATTTTCAAATTCTCTCTCTCTCTCTCTCTCTCTCTCTCTTTCTCTCTCTCTCCCTTCTCTTTTTTCTCCTTTCGTTGGAAGGGAGACTTTTTGAAACAGAGTCTCACTATGTAGCCAGGCTGGATTTGAACTTGGGTGATCCTCCTGACTCTGCCTCTCTAGTGCTGGGATGACAGACAGGTGTACCCCACCATGCCTGACTCAATTTTTTTTGAAACTTCCCCTGGTTTTTCCATTACTTAAAAATATGTTGTTTATTCTCTATGTTGGAGATTTTCCTGTTGTTGTTACTGATTTGATTCTTTTATGGCCCGAGTGTACTCTGTACAGTTGTAATTCTGTTGATGTCACTAGGGTCGGTTACTGTTACTGTTTGTCTTTTTGAGTGACTAGACCAGTGCTTGAACAGCATGTACTTTCTGAGGTTGTTATCAGACACTCTTTAACTAGCTGAGCTGCCTAGAAGAAGTTCAGATCATCTGAGATGCTTGGAACACTCACTTTCTGACCTATCAAGCTGCCTGCAGGTTGTTCAGTGAGGTCCGGGTGTCCTGCTTTCCTGAGCTGTCACCCATGCTGGGGTGGGCTTTGGTGATGCAACTGTCTTTGAGTCACTTCTGCTCCTGTAAGTAACCCAATAAAACTCATTGGTTCACCAAGTGACTTTGGTAGTATCCTTATTTTGGTCTGTCATTGGTCCCCTCTCTGGGGTGAGTAGATGTTTGATCAGGCTCCTCAGCTATACTATCACACAACATTGAGTGCTAAGGATTGAACTCATTGTCTTAACACAATTGAGCACAGTAAGCAAGCAATCTGTCACTGAGTTTCCTGGCCTCTCTGTCTGGGTTTAATGCACAGGCCTTACCTATTTGGGAATGGTAATTGCAGTGACAAGTTAGGCTCCAGGCCCCAGCAGTGTTAATTCATATTTCATCAGGGCTCACAATTTAATAAGGACAATTATTCAGAGACTGAGCTAAAAGGATCACAAATCCAACCTGCCTGGACTAGAGAGTGAGTTCAAGGCCAGCTTAGACGACTTAGTGAGACCCTGTCTCATTTTCCCAGCATGTGTAAGGTCCTAGGTTCAATCCTTAACATCTCCTGCCAAAAGTAATAAACATTTTGTAATAAAAAAAGTGAAAACCAACATGGATGTGTCCCATGTATAGCATTTGACATAGAAGTGTCAAGGTCCACATGAGGACAGAGACAGAACAGCAGCCAAAGGTCAAGCAGCGTGAATACAGTATTGTTGGGATTAGAGCAGGAGACTGTGACCCCCACCTCAGGACAGCAGTGTGCCCCCTCTCCCGAGCCTCTCTGCCCTGTACTATGGTATGTTCTGTGGTCCAGCATATGCTGGGACCCAGGTTTGATCTTCAGCACCACAAAAGCAGAAAAGAAAAAAAATATAAACAAACAAAAACACAGGATCACTAAGAAATTCACCTTGTGTGTGATTTTCCTTTGTGACTCCCAAAAGCTCCAGGATTAGCTCTGCTGGCTGAGTGCGTGAGTATGCACTCAGGCAGGGCTTGTGGCCACACCATTGAGGTCAGGCCATGCTTGCAGGCTCTTCGTTACATTTTAATTTATCTTCGGCCCATTTTAAATAATGAAACAATGCAATATCCAAAGCCCAATGTTAAATTGTTTTTTTTAAAGATTTAATTATTAACTCTCTCTCTCTCGCTCTCTCTCTCTCTCTCTCTCTCTCGCTCTCATGTGTGTGTGTGTACCTCTGTGAGTGTGTGCATGGAGAACAGGTGCCTGCCCAGGGTGTCAGAACCCCTGGAGCTAGAGTTGAAGGTAGTTGTGAGCACCTGAGATAGATGCTGGGAACGTAGTTGGGTCCTCTGGAAGAACACTATAAGCTCTTAACTGCTGAACCATCTTTCCAGCCCCTTAGGTTTTCTTTTTAGATAGGAATAGTGTGATGAAATGAATCTGCTAATGTTTCTAATGGAATTGTAACCATCCTGGCAGAGGAATGACATTCCGAAGAGACACTTGTGCTCAAAGGAAATTTCCTCAGGAATTCTGTGGTGGCAGAGAGGAAAGGCTGAGGTCCTGGGGCCAGTCAGAGAAGGAACTTGCCTCCCAGGAAGAGACACAGTTCTGACAACTTGTCAGACCACCTTACAGAAGAGATTGGAGCTGAGATGGTGGTCATCCAGCGATGGCCAGGACCACACCTTGGCCAGGACTGCTTGGTTATGTACACCTATGCCTCTCTGTTTAATTTAAATCTCCTGTCAGGACCTGGAGATGGACTTGTGGGGGTTGGTGGGGGCTCACTGGACCTCTGTATGTGTTCATTTTCCAACATGGCCACATTGAATACATTTCCTTTCTCTGCTTTTTACTTTTGCTTTTTTCTATAGTTAAGTTTGTTTGTTTTGTTTTGTTTCTTGTTGTTTTTGACAGGGTCTCCCTAATCTCCGCCACTTGGAAGTCACTCTGTGGGCCAGGCTGGCCTCCACCTCACAGAGATCTACCTGTCTCTGCCTCCTGGGTACTGGGATTAAAGGCTGGTGCCACCATGCTGGGTGTTTGTCTCTTTAATTG